AGATCAAAGGAAAATAAAAAGTGTGTAATACGGAACTGTTAAAGCTTGTCCAAATGCAGCCCACCTTGACATGCTGCAATAGATTCCCTCCCCGAACCTAGCTCATAGTAATACTTAGTACAGTTAGAGCAAAGAACACTCTGAAAAAAACCACTCTCCTAAACAAGGAGGCTGCGTTATCCTCCACTGACTGTCTACCTAGCTAGCAAGAAGACCAAGTAGGATATCTTGTAACAACCTTGTTTCCTGGAAGTAGTTTTATAATCAGTGGGCTTTTTTGGATGTTAGAAGTGGTTCATTATTCAGTCACACACCCAGACTGAGGTTACATCAGCAGTTTTGCAGTATGATGTCTAATTGGGAGTATTGTCTATGGTAAAGTGGAATACTCAGTATCATACATATTTTCTTTTGTACCTGCTGAGTTTCTGTCATGTAGCTTTGGAGTAATTTCTTTTTACGAAACCTAACCTACCAAACGCCCCTTAATGAGCTCAGAGTGCCAAGGTGATGTGACCGCAGTGTGCTTCTCAGCTGTCCCCAGGCAGAGGCTGATTTGCGTTCAGACCAGTCTGCCTACAGCGACAGGGCTTCTTAACTGTCAGTTTTTCACATTAAATGTAGGACAAATCAACTACGGAGTTCAACTAACAGTCTCCCACATATTAAAGAAGAAATTGTTTAAAGGTACAACGTATGCAACTCTCTAATTGAAAAATGATGCAGACTGATTTGTGAGAATGTTTGAATATATACCAAGCTTTAACATAAATCAAATATGATATCTAGGTCTTGTTTAATTCTGTACTTTGGGTATACCCAAAATAAGTCTATACTTTGGTCATGCTGATTCCAAAAATCTTACAAATATTATTCATGACATATCAATCACAAATGGAAAACAATTACTTTACAGTTGTGTAATGGTCTGCAGAAGGTCACTACTACATTTCTGACTGATCAGGACTTCAAAGGCATCAGAATATGAATGTGTGCTGCTATTCATACTGAAAAAGAGAAGGAATTACTACTGGGATTGAGTTAAAATCTCATCTATAGGTAACAGTATTCCAAAACAAAAACCAAATAAAAAAAAGTAGTGGAAATGTCTGTTTCAGTGGAAAACAGCTGCTGCCTCAAACAAATATTAATATTTTTCTTCATGTGCACATCAAAGCTCAGTGACAGACATCACTCTAATCCTGTATTTGCTTCTGCATACGTCTTTACTCTTCACTGGATTTAGTACCACCCACCCTCTCCCTAGCATTATAGTTCCATCTGATATTTAGTTCTTATCAGTTGATTACTGCCTGTTTCTGATAACAGCGTACTCCCAGGATTCATCAGCTATATTAAGGAGTTAAGGTTAAGTTTCCTTTCCTTGAACCTGCTGTGCTGTTAAGCATGCACTGAGATACAAAGCCCTTTTCTTTTGCTTAGTTTGAGCTTGTAGGACTGAACTCTGAGTATTCCTCAGTAATATGTTAGCAGACAAGCTCAAATATTGTCTGCATTTTCTTGTTGACTGATGGTTTTACTCAATTCCTCAAATGCTTACTTGTATCAGTATGAAAGTCTCCCCTCTCATTACTTAGTAATTCAATGTGATCTATTGTCTTTCTCTATTCCCTTTTTAATAATATCATGAAGGCAACCCAGAAATCAGCTCATAAAGTATTTGTATACTCCTGCTTTTGTTATATATCAACAGCACAACTTTTCATCTAAAAGTAGATGTTTGTATCAGAGTCTGTTAAACAGTAAACCTCTGACATTTTCCTAGAACAAAATGTTCAAGTAATTGCTTTTCTTTGAGTCATCAGTTAGGATTCTCACTGAAATACACCTTATCTGAGATCGAGGTGCATGGTTACACACAGACATATGAAGCAGCATGCAGTACTTCCTTCTCCCCTCTTCGTAAGATTGTTACTTTTTCCCTATCCAGGCAGCTACAGAGCAAAGAGAACCTTCATTTTATTTTCCTTAACAGAGACTTGTATATTTGGTGTGAAGAGGTACACTTAACTTGCTGCTACAATTCCCTCCAACACCACTGAATGTGAGATCTGATCCTGGGACAGGATCAGGCACAGGACAGGCCGTGATTATCACCATTTACCATGTAGTCTCTGTGAGTGGGAAGGGAGTACCTATTGCTAACTAGAGCCAAGAGCATTTCCACATTGTGCCTGAGACCTGATGGGAAGAAAATGAGGAGAAATTGTACGTGTCCAGGTTTGGATATCTCTTGCAGGAACCAAAGTAGTTTTAAATTTTTCAGTTTTGTTATTGTTTGAAATATGAACATGGAGAGAGAAAGGATGTTTTACAAAAGATTTCTCACCAGGTTAGACAGAGAGGGTTCCCACCAAAATGCATTCTGGGTCAAGTTCAATAAATAAACTCGGTCAGAGAATTTATGTTTATTTTGTCATATGAAGAGCTATATAGATTTTGTGCTCACCTTCTTTATAATGTGGATTTCACAGATTAGTGTAGAAAAAACTCCTAAATTTAAACCAGGCACTAAACTTCAGATTTTAACAAAACTTCTAACTAACCCTAAACAAAATTTTGAGAATTCCCCTTGCTTAGACTCCTAAAGAAGAAATACGATATTCTGTATAATTTTCAGATGGTAAAGTTCATTTTTCATAATAAATGTGCAGGCACATACACAAAACTTGGTTTACCTTAGTTCTGTGTATTTTTGCAAAGGCCGTGATTATCACCAGTAAATATGACATGCAGCTCTCTTGACTTTGCCCCCCTTAAAGGGAGCACCTGTGTAACTTCCAATACAGTTGCGTAGAGCTGTACTTGCTGTAAGATATTTGTGCATATGACAGCTTTAGTCTGCTTCCCAGAATGAATGTTTTGCGTATACAAGGGATGCAGAGGCTACTAAGCAGTTCTCTTTCTGGCCACTGGGTTGTGGAAAATTGATTCCCAGTTGGATTCTCTCTTCCTCTGCTCTTATATTTTGGTTTCAGAATATCAGGCCATGATTGAGGGTGAGCATAAATAGCAGCAAAGGAAGTAAGGCATGGAGGCGAGAGGGCAGGTGGTAGGAGCTGAAATGGAAACAGTGAGGGACAACCAACCGTACACATACAGTTATACAAACAGATATATCAGATATAGGTATAGTCAGGAACAAAATTCAGAGATGAATATTTTCCCCAGGTCTCTCTTCTTAAATACCCAAACTAAGCCTTTGTTATTTCATTTCAATTTGAATAGTAGTAGAAGCAAAAGCAATCCTGACTTAATATTGATTGGTTCTGTACTTTGGATATTCAGCTGACATGATATCTCTCACATCTCAAGCAAATAGCGTAGCTGTCAAAATACAGATAACCCAAAATATTTAACTGTCCATGTAAAATGGAACTGCTCCAGCAGAAGGGAAAGAAGTAATTAAGAAGGACAAGGGCTTTGCCTTAACATCACACAGCCTAGCACCCTTTAGTAACCACTGAGCTACTGTGGACAGCTGTTTTGTTGATGTGAATGTGATTTCACAGAACATTTTTGTGTTCATGAAGGAGTATTTCTGAAGGAATAACGTTTTGTCTGAAATCTTTTTATGAGCCTTAGAGGGCAGGATCTTCTGAAGAACAGGCCAAAGAAGCAAACGGAGGGTTAGGAGGATGATCAGACAAGCAGTGACTACTGAGCACTGAGTAATCAAAACCTGTGCAACAGATTTGGTCAGTAGAGTTGAAGAAGAAAGGGGATGAAGCACTGATTGTAAGCTTTGGCTAGAAAAGGTTAACATTTTCAGACACGTGGCAGGTTTGAAGTATGTTACATTAGAGGAAAGAGAAAAATTCTGGTGGTGACTGTAAACTGTTCAGTGAACATTCATTTCTGCATCTTGTGCAATGGATAAATAGATTCCTTTCGTTATACTTTGCTGGAGAGCCAGGTGCTTATATCTCCTGGGGTGAAGATGAGAAGCGCAAATGCCAGCCCATGTAGCGGAGACAAGCTGACTATAAGTTGCCTAGTAAGAACTGTTTAAGATGGTTTCTGATTTCAGGTGACGATGACATTTATGTAGAGGTATGCTGTCTTGAGGGCACTTTTTTGCTAATTTAATTTTCAAGCTTTTGTCCACATACATAATTCCATAGCTGTGAAATTGCAATCAATACAATGAAAAGATTCCTCAGGTTTTAAATCATTATTCTTACTTATATTATTAATATTGTTTTTCCTCTATTTTTTTTAAAAAATCCTACTTGTTTTCAGTTTTTATAAAGTCTTTTTTAAAATCACAGATTTTTTTTTAACTGTTTCCATGAATCAGACCTAGAAAAAACCTGATCTGCTTAATATTTTTGCGTATTACCTTCATGCGTTTAGACTACATAAGCTATTACTATTTACATTTTTCACAGAGTTCTGTAATACTTAGGTGAACTTCATAAGTATTCGTGATAATTGCAGTGAATCAGAAGGGTAGCAAAAAAAATCCAAACTGAAGAAGTTACCAATTTCATAGGTTTAAAGTGGTTTTTTAATTGGCTTTGGACTGTGACTAAGAATCAAAGTGGAGAAAATCACCTAATTTTACCCTCCCCCTTAGTCAGTGGTAAGCTTCATAGGACCCTCCCCAAACCAAATAAGGCCAGGAAGAATGTGCTAAGCACTGAGTGTGCTAAGAATAAAGTTGAGCTGGGATGGATAAGGTTACTTTGAACTCTATATTTCATGTTTCCTGACATACCCCTCCAAGAACTGCAATTATGCTAGCAAGGCTGCAGGAGCATTAAACAGTTCTTTCACAATTCTTTTGCTTTTTGCTGCCTTTCCATGTGTTCCTATCCAGTGTAGAGCTGGGCCTTTTTACTTTTTATTTGTGGAGTGCATGGCTCTTAGGATATTAGGAAAACAATGCTGAAGATTCACTGTGAGGCACAGCTATTTTTGTTAGAAGCTCATACTTTAGATTGAGCTTGAAGTGTTGCCTCTGGAAGGCCTTAGGTTTCTTTGGAAGGGCAGGAGTCTGCAAAGGAAACAGAAAGTTCAGAGGGGTGCAAAAGAAGAAGGAACAGAATTAGAAAAAGCAGAGGACCTCCCTCCTTCTCATTCTGCAGCTCCTGCAAGAGCCAGCTACCCAGAAGTATTACCTAAGCTGCCACAGTAGATCTTGACCTTTTTAACAGAGTATCTCTTACCACCATCATCATGGCCGAGATTACAGCAGAAGGTACAGTAACTATTTTCAAATATAATTAACCAAAAATGATATGTACTTTGACAGTGTAATTGAACTAGTGAGTGAATATGATTTGTTGCTCTTAGCAAATAATGCTTTCACTCCAGGATCATTTAATTATGTTGGATTACTTTCCACTTTCCTTTTTTTTTTTTTTTTTTTTTTTTCACTCCTGTAGCCTGAATTTCTACCAGTTACTGAAGCTAGATCTCTGTACACCTCTAAAAATAGCATTAGTCTTGTTTGCAGAACAACACTGCTTAGGCAGCTCCATTAGAGTTATACAAGAAGGGGAACGTCTAAATGTCAGGTGTTTCCACCCTCAAGCCTTTGCTCAGGTAAAGCTTTGGTAGTCTCTTATGATCAGAGATTTACCAGAGTCAGAATAGCTTAGTCTGGTGGTCCTGATTTTTCCATAAGGAGCACTGGGTATTTCTGAACTGTACATGAAGTTACTGAAGGGTAAAAGCTATCAACTTTGCAATCCTTATTCAGATAAACTTCTAAAGGAGTCAGTGAAAGTTGTAATGAAATAAGTACGCCAAAGCTAGGCTTGCAAGAATGAAAAGCATTTGTATTAACCAATAAATACATATTCTAATATATGAATATTTCATGTACTTTAATATTTCCTGACCATTCATATTTAAATAACATTTTAGATGCATAACAATGTTTTATCAACCGCAGTCAGACAGGGGATATATTTAAAATGCAACCTTCTTTAAATTTAATACTGAATATTTTAGTTGAATTTCCTTCCAACCTTTTTTTCTGTGTGGATTACTCCACTGTTTATCTGAATTTAATAATGACACTACAAAAAAAAATGCTTTAAAGAGTCTTCTGAAAGTTATTTTTATTCTACTTGTCAAGGTTATGTGGCATTTCAGTGTATGAAAGTTGTACTTTTCATCTTCCATTTTTCATTGTTAATACTTGGAAGAGGATTGTGCATTAAGCACTATTAGAAAGTAAGCCTGTTGTCTTCTAAAGGATTGATGTTAGGGCTATGTCAATTTGTACAATACTTGCCTCATGTCTGGTTAGCCACAGCAAGGAGACAATGTGCATGTGATTTTTTAATCAGCAGTTGGATGGATCTATAATTTGTTTCTGGCAGCAAATACTGCCAAAACAGGTGGCGCAGGCTGACAGCCCTAACCCAAATGCTAGCAATAGTTTATTTGGATATTCTTAACGAGGCTTTTTGGAAATATTGGTTATTTTGTACCTGCTATCAGGGAAATCTATGTAGTTATATTTGTCTTCCAAAATGCGTGTATTAATACCATCAGTGTCAGAGGGGCAGTATGGAAGTACCTCTTGCAAGGTTCTCCAAGCAAAAAAACCCAAATTAGCAATATTTTTAGTCCAAAGTTAATAACAAAAATAGAAGACTTGAATCAGTCTGGAAGTGACTTTTCAGTCATTTAGCTTATTAAAGAAAGAAAATAAAAGAGCCTAAGATAAAATAAAAATAAAACAAAGAGTCTGAAAATTATGTTTTTATTGTGCTTTTATAGTGTTTTTGCAGGTTTCCTTAGCTGTAATACTGTGTGTCTTCTGTGTTTTTTTTCTGTGCAAAGCAATAGACTTCAGGTAATAAGGGGCATCAGCTCCACAGTAACCTGACCTTCAGCATGACAGGTAAATAAGCCATATAATTAGCTGGATTGAGTTGAATTTAATTTAGTTTTATTTTGTTTTCTTATATTTGCAATGGACTTATGTTGATTGGTTGATTTTTAAACTCTGGGTCCATAAGATGGGAATTTTACTTATGCAAAAAAACCTAAGAATTCAGCCTGGGGCTATTGTTTCACTGCAGTTTATTTTCCTCTGGGGCTACTGCTGACACTCACAAGGCAGTCTGAAAGTTCAGATTTAAACTTCAGCAACATATAGTTTGGACAAATAAAAAACAATTAAAATACCTCTTGCTTCTCAAAATTCCTTTTTGATTTTATTTTATTTCATACTACATCCCAGCCCATGATTTGCTGGGGTCTCCATGACTTTATTAGGATTAAAGTACTTGTTTCTTGTGGTAAATATTCTTTATTTTACACTGTCAGCCACCCATCAGCTAGACTGTCAGGCTCTTTTTGCCTTTTGGGGTATCATGCTGACACGCAGAAAACATGGCACAACAGTGATGCAGGCTTCAACACTGCCATGGCCAGTGTGGCTGCTAGTTTAGAGAGACAGTCCAGCCCTGGCAGAGTGATACTCTTGGTGCACATCTCAGGGCACCTTTTTCTGACAGCCCGTGTCAATACCATGGTCTATTCAGCAACAGATGCACAGGGCCGATGGAGTGCTCTTTCAGGTCAGTATCATGGTAATGACAACGAGACTAAGTGGCTTAAAAATGTAGCCACCGAGCAATGACCCTCGCCTGTCTACTTGCATCGCAAGCCACATATGCTGTCTATTCATTTCCAGAGCTATAAATTGTTAGTTGTGGAAATACTGGTGAAGTGTACCTGGTGAAAGACAAAAGGAGATCTCTGAAGACAGCAATTTATAACTCTCCTTAGAAAGCTGGCAGGACCTAGGTCTCCTGCTGGCAAATATTTAGGAGAAGATTCCAAAGGATTATCTTCAACATACTCGTATTACATGTAATTGCAACCACAGAAATGTACTATTAAAATGTGGAAGTCCTTAAAACTGTATACAAAAATCTCAGTACAGATACTAAGTACTCTGTCTTTGCAAAAGTCTCAGGATCTATTATTATTAATAGTATTGTTATTACGTTTAATCTGTTACTGAGTACTCTGTAATGGCCAGGGACTTTACTGTGATCCACTTAAGATCCACTTGCCTAGAAAGCCATGGGTATCTAACTATGCTACTCTGCTGTGTTTATGGACATGGGGATTGGACTGGACTCAATGGCAGATGTAGTTAGAGCTGCCATCACTGAAATACGACTACAAAAAGCCTGGCGCCTCTGAGAAATGGCTTCTACCATGTACAGCTTCACCTGTATGTGCACAATAGCTCCAGCAGCAGCCCTCTAGTTGGTGCTTTCTAGTCCAATCTACTGCAGGTCACAGTGCAAGGCTGATGGCTGTCCCCTGGCACTTTATCCTCCCATGGAGAGAAGAACAAACAGAGGCTCAGCTCTGTCTGCTGCAATGCACCGCAGACTGTGCACTGATCTAATCTGAGGAGGTGAGGAGAGGAGAAAGACAAGGTTTCTATGCCAGCTGTTTGTCTGCCACAACTTATTTCCCCAGTGGAGCAAGGGAGAAGCAGGAGTCAAACAGAAATGTGACAATGAGTCACAGTTTGGTCCTTATTTTGCTGCTGAGAGCTGTGCAACTACACATGTCCTCTGTCTCGGAGCAAGCTGCAAGGAGACAGGCTAGCCCTGAGGCCATGCACAGCTTGTCAGTGACAAAATCAAAATTAGCTTCTGGATTTCAGTCCTTTTCTCAGGCTATTTGATAACGATGAAAAGTTTTAAGATGTAAACCATTTCAAAAGGCGGATTTAACAAGATCTGTATGTTTGAAGATTAATATATGTGAAACTGATAATGTATGAAAAATAACACACAAGAGCCAGAGGGTAAAGTCATAATGACTTCCATGAGTGTGATGGCCAGAAGCTAACAGCAGTCTCCAGTTGGCAAAAAGTTTAGCAAAGTCACACTACAGGCAAGAGGGAGATAGATACTTCTCATGATAATTCATGAGTTGCTGCTAGAAGTGCTAGTTGTGCCGACTGCAAAAGGGGTCTAGATGAATAAATTAGATTAGATGATTCATTTTGATGGATAAAGGCATGTGAAATGTTTCCTAGCCTTCAGTTAGACTGCTGTTTAAGCACTGAGTTAGGAGGTTTCTGTAGAATTTATTTGCAACAAGCAAATTTGCAAAACGAAAAGATGTCTTCTTTTTCTGGATTTCAGTGTTGATGAGGAAAAAGCATATCTTTTGTAGTGAGGTAAGGAAAATACAACAGTTTGGCAATGATTTTTGGAAGGAATCAGTCTGTCTTGTTCAGAAGTACCAAGTAAAGTCAACAGCCTAGTTACCTGGAGAGACAAAAAGTCAGAAAACTCAGGACTGCCTGTAAAAAAGTAAGCCTGTGGGGGAAACAAAACGTCCAAATTCTTACCAAAATTCCTTAAAACTTGGATTCCCCTGTGCCTGTGGGCCTGGACAACTGAGCTGGTTAGTTTGTCTGTTGCCTGGGTGCTTTCTTGTAGCCTATTGAGGCAAGTGGTTCCTAGCTTAAGTTTTAGGTTTATGCATTTGTGGGCAATGTTATTCACAGCTGGTACGGATTCTATACATGTTCAGTTGGTACAGACAAAGTCCAACATATCGTTACCTTAGGTAGCCCCTTAGAAAGTCAGCTTCCTATGGACAGCAAGAAGCCTTAATACCTCTAAACGAGAGTTTTAAGCTAGTGCGTGTTGCTAGTCCATGACAGGCCAAAGTGTGTGTGTGCAGTTAACTCACGATTACTTGTGTTCAAACAGCTAGACTGTAGGTCTGATCATTTATTCACTTTTTTAAAAGGAACCTCGTGCTTATATTTTAAGGTTACTTATGTAACAAGAAATGCATTTAAAAGCCTAGTAGTGTTTTCAAGTTATCGGGGTGATCAGTTCCCACTGATCTAAAAATTAAATCCGTGCGACTACTTAGATTCTCGGAAGTCCCAATCTACAATTTTAGGTACCTAATCCTTGAAAAAAATCTAGTGTATAATTATTTTGAGTACTTTTACCCATTGCCTACAATGTAAAACACTGTTTAAGAGGTGGATTCGTGCTGTTTTTACTGCTCTGCTCTGAAAAGCAGAAACTGATTTAGTTTAAAACACATTTCATAATACAGGTCTGGCTTCAGTCCAAGACACACTGAGGACAGAGATGTCCTCTTTGAGGCACGTCAGCTGCTTATAGAACTAGAGAAGCTTTCCTTTTCTTTCTGATGTTGATATTCCCTGGTTTCAACTCTGTT